ATGGAGGTGCTCATGATTCAGGCCAAGATAGAAGAGGATGAGGAGGTAACTATGGCTAGATTTCTTAGTGGTTTGAATAATGATATTCGTGATATTGTTGAACTGCAGGAATTTGTTGAAATGGAGGACTTGCTTCACAAAACAATCCAAGTGGAGCAACAATTGAAAAGGAAAGGTGTGGCCAAAAGGAGCTCCACTAATTTTGGTTGGAAGGATAAGGGAAAAGGGGCTGCCACTTCTAGTGCAGCGCCTACACCAACAAAAACTCCTCTAAAAACTCAAGAGCAACCCTCTAAAAGGAGTCGGGATGTGAAGTGCTTTAAGTGCCAAGGCTTAGGACACTATGCATATGAGTGCCCTAACAAAAAAACCATGATTCTTAGAGATGGAGAGTATATAAGTGAGTCCGAAATTGAAGAGGGAGAGGAGAATGAGGACGTAAAGGAGGAGGTGGAGAAAACACCAGAGGGAGACTTGTTGATGATAAGGCGGTTACTTGGTAGCCAATTGAAGCCTTTGGAGGAGAGCCAAAGAGAAAACATCTTCCATACTAGATGTTTGATCAATGGTAAACTTTGCATGGTGATCATTGATGGAGGGAGTTGCACCAATGTGGCGAGTGCAAGACTTGTGTCTAAATTGAATTTAGTTACAAAGCCACATCCTAGGCCATATAGGCTTCAATGGCTTAGTGAGGATGGAGAGGTGCAAGTAAGGAAGCAAGTAGAGTTGGATATTTCCATTGGAAGATACAATGATAAGGTGCTTTGTGATGTTGTTCCTATGGAGGCCAGCCACTTACTCTTGGGGAGACCATGGCAATTTGATAAAAGAGCCAATCATGATGGTTTCACCAACAAAATCTCATTCATGCACCAAGACAAGAAGATAGTGCTCAAACCTTTAAGTCCGCAAGAGGTGTGTGAGGATCAAAGAAAAATGAGAGAAAATATTGTCCAAGAAAACAAAGAAAAAGAAAGCCAAACACTTGAGAGCTCAAAAAGTGAGGACAAAAAGAGAGAAACACATGAGAGGAAAAAGAAGAGTGAAACACTTGAGGTGAAGGAGAGCTTTTTAGCTACAAAAAGTGAGGTCAAGAGGTTGTTTCTATCTAAACAGCCCCTATTTTTGTTAATTTGCAAAAACTATGTTTTGACCACTAACACTTTTGATAACCTTGATTTGCCTTCTAGAGTGAAGTCTCTTTTGCAGGAATTTGGAGATGTGTTTCCAACAAGTGTACCAAGTGGGTTGCCACCATTAAGAGGTATTGAGCATCAAATTGATCTCATTCCAGGAGCTTCTTTGCCTAATAGGCCAGCCTATAGAAGCAACCCTCAAGAGACCAAGGAGATCCAAAGACAAGTGGATGAACTCATTGGTAAGGGATGGGTAAGAGATAGCATGAGTCCTTGTGCTGTCCCGGTAATTTTGGTTCCTAAAAAGGATGGGACATGGCGCATGTGTTCTGATTGTAGAGCCCTTAATAACATCACCATTAAATATAGGCATCCTATACCTAGGCTTGATGATTTGCTTGATGAATTGCATGGTGCATGTTACTTCTCTAAAATTGATTTAAAAAGTGGATACAATCAAATTAGGGTTAGAGAAGGGGATGAATGGAAAACTGCTTTCAAAACAAAATATGGTTTGTATGAATGGTTGGTTATGCCTTTTGGCTTAACTAATGCTCCTAGCATTTTCATGAGATTAATGAACCATGTTTTGAGAAAATTCATAGGAAAATTTGTTGTGGTGTACTTTGATGATATTCTTATCTATAGCACTTCACTTGAATTGCATGTTGATCATTTAAAATCTGTCTTGTGTGTGCTTAGAGAAGAACAATTGTATGCCAATCTTGAAAAATGCATCTTTTTACTAACCATGTTGTGTTTCTTGGTTTTGTTGTAAGTTCAAAAGGAGTACAAGTGGATGAGGAAAAGGTTAGGGCTATTGAAGAATGGCCTACACCTAAGTCCGTGACCGAAGTGAGAAGTTTCCATGGTTTAGCAAGTTTCTATAGGAGATTTGTGAAGGATTTTAGCACATTGGCAGCACCTCTAAATGAAGTGCTTAAGAAAAATGTTGGTTTCAAATGGGGAGAGAAACAAGAAGAAGCTTTCAAAGCTCTTAAGCAAAAGCTAACTAATGCCCCTATACTTGCTTTGCCAAACTTTCAAAAATCTTTTGAAATTGAGTGTGATGCTTCAAATGTTGGGATTGGGGCTGTGTTATTGCAAGAAGGCCATCCAATTGCTTATTTTAGTGAAAAGCTAAGTGGTCCTACCCTTAACTATTCAACTTATGATAAAGAGTTGTATGCCTTAGTGAGAGCTTTGAAAACATGGCAACACTACCTTTATCCCAAGGAATTTGTTATTCATAGTGACCATGAGTCCCTCAAATATATCAAGGGACAAGGCAAGCTTAACAAAAGGCATGCCAAGTGGGTGGAATTTCTAGAGCAATTCCCTTATGTTATCAAACATAAAAGAGGAAAAGGTAACATTGTAGCTGATGCTCTTTCTCGGCGTCATGCTTTGCTTTCTATGCTTGAAACAAAATTGATTGGTCTTGAATGTTTGAAAAACATGTATGAAAGTGATGAAACTTTTGGTGAAATTTTTAAAAATTGCGAAAAATTTTCAGAAAATGGTTTCTTTAGACATGAAGGCTTTCTTTTCAAAGAAAACAAATTGTGTGTGCCTAAATGTTCTACAAGAAACTTGCTTGTTAGTGAAGCACATGAAGGAGGTTTAATGGGGCATTTTGGGGTCCAAAAGACTCTAAAAACATTACAAGAACATTTTTATTGGCCTCATTTAAAAAAGGATGTGCAGAAATTTTGTGAACATTGCATTGTTTGTAAAAAGGCAAAGTCAAAGGTAAAGCCTCATGGATTGTATACTCCATTGCCAATTCCGGAGTATCCTTGGATTGATTTATCCATGGATTTTGTTTTGGAGCTGCCAAACACAAGTAGTGGCAAAGATTCAATTTTTGTGGTTGTTGATAGGTTTTCTAAAATGGCTCATTTTATTCCATGTAAAAAGGTGAATGATGCTTCTCATGTGGCTGATTTGTTTTTCAAGGAGATTGTGAGACTCCATGGTTTGCCAAGGAGCATTGTCAGTGATAGGGACTCTAAGTTCCTAAGCCATTTTTGGAGGACCTTGTGGGGCAAGTTGGGCACTAAATTGTTATTTTTAACCACTTGTCACCCACAAACCGATGGGCAAACGGAAGTTGTTAATAGGACGTTGGGAACATTGCTTAGGACAGTTTTAAGAAAGAACTTAAAAACTTGGGAAGTTTGTTTACCCCATGTTGAGTTTGCTTACAATAGGGCTGTTCATAGCACTACTAATTGTTCTCCTTTTGAGGTTGTTTATGGTTTTAACCCACTAACTCCTCTTGATCTTTTGCCTATGCCTAATGTTTCAGTTTTTAAGCATAAAGAAGGTCAAGCAAAGGCGGACTATGTGAAGAAGCTTCATGAGAGAGTCAAAAATCAAATTGAGAGGAGAAATGAAAGCTATGCTAAACAAGCCAACAAAGGGAGAAAGAAGGTTATCTTCGAACCCGGAGATTGGGTTTGGGTGCACATGAGAAAGGAAAGGTTTCCGGAACAAAGGAAGTCAAAGCTTCAACCAAGGGGAGATGGTCCATTCCAAGTGCTTGAAAGAATCAATGACAATGCTTACAAAATTGAGCTGCCGGGTGAGTATAATGTTAGTTCCACCTTCAATGTGTCTGACTTATCTCTTTTTGATGTAGATGGAGAAGCCGATTTGAGGACAAATCCTTCTCAAGAGGGAGAGAATGATGAGGACATGACCATGAGCAAGGGCAAGGATCCTCTTGAAGGACTTGGAGGACCTATGACAAGGGCTAGAGCAAGGAGAGCAAAAGAAGCTCTTCAACAAGTGTTGTCCATATTAATTGAATACAAGCCCAAGTTTCAAGGAGAAAAGACCAAGGTTGTGAATTGCATCATGGCCCAAATGGAGGAGAACTAAGGCGCCACTTTGCTTCAGTTTTTAAGTTTTTAGTTTGTTTTAAATAATGGCCCAATCCTTTGTAAAGTTGGCTGACCAAATTATGTTTTGTGGTTAATCAACTAATGGGCTTTGGTTTGGTTTTATTTCAAGTTGTAATAAGGGCCCAATTGGCAACTTAGGCATCAGCCTTTGGAAGACCAAGAGGCGCATAGCTAGTGGCTGTTGGGTGACTTTTTGGTTGCCACAATTTCAGTTACAATCAGCCATCAAGTAGTTTCATTTTCCGTTACGGAACCTTTGTAATTCTGATGGTAAAGCTTCTATATAAGCTGAACCATTCTTATCAATAAGACAAGTTAAGTTTGATTCAGAAATATTAGAGTTTATCTCTTTTATCTTAGTGAGAGTGATTCTCCTAAGTTCTTGAGTGATTCAAGAACTTCTTGGCTGTATCAAAGGGCTTTCACATCCCTTTGTGTGTTGCCTTCCTTGGAAAGAGTGATTCTTTCCTTCCCCCATTCAATTCTTCACCAAAGTTCCAAAAAAACTCAAATCTGCCCAGAATTATTTCGTTATCATAACTCTCGTTCTACTCAGCCAAATTGAGTGATTCTTGAGCCTAAATTGCATTTCAGAACGAGAACTTTCACCTCGTTTTGGAATCACCTCAATTGGAGTTCTATAACTCGAGATACCGTCATTTCTAAAATTCTGTCCAGCCACCACCAAACCAGCGTTTTTGCTTCCTTTTTCACTCATTTTTAACACCATGGACCAACACCTAATTTGCCCAGAAATTCATCACTAAATTTTCAAATTTTTGTACAAGGTTCTAACCCTAAAGATCCTAAGTCAACCCTTGTGCAAATGGGGTTCATATCACTTGCTGAAATCTTATGGCCTAAGACTATCCTTTCTTGTACCATAAAATGACATTTTTCCTAATTTAGCACAAGGTTTGAGTCTTGGCAACGCTGCAAAACAAGAGATAGATTAGCTAGACACTGATCAAAAGAATTACCAAATACAGAAAAGTCATCCATAAAAACTTCTATAATTCTTTCAATCATATCAGAAAAAATGGACAGCATACACCTTTGAAAAGTGGCCAGAGCATTGCACAACCCAAATGACATCCTCCTATATGCAAAAACTCCAAAAGGATAAGTGAATGCTGTCTTTTCTTGGTCTCTTGGATCAACTGCAATATGGTTGTAACCAGAATATCCATCTAGGAAACAATAGTAGTCCAATCTAGCCAATCTCTCCAGCATTTGGTCAGTAAATGGAAGAGGAAAATGATCTTTCCTTGATGCATCATTCAACTTCCTATAATCTATACACATTCACCATCTGGTTACTGTCCTAGTAGGTATTAATTCATTTTTTTTTCATTTGGAACAACAGTTATACCTCCTTTCTTAGGCACCATATGAACCGGACTTACCTATGAACTATCTGAAATTGGGTAAATAACTCCTTCATCAAGTAGTTTAATCACTTCTTGCCTCACTATCTCTTTCATAGTTGGGTTGAGTCTTCTTTGAGGTTGGACAACAGGTTTGCAATTCTCCTCAAATAAAATTCTGTGCAGAAAGATGGATCTATAGCTTTCAAATCTGAAATATACCATCCTAGTGTAGATTTGTGCTTTCTTAACACTCTCAAGAGTTTTTCAAGAAATACATATCTCAAATGAGAGGGTAGTTGCTTTAGCTCCACTTTGGGCTCTTCCTTCTTTTCTTCTGCTTGAGGTAATTCTTCCTTGAGTTGATTTATTTCATTGTTCATACAGGGAAGGGAATCTAACTGCAGAATGCAGTCTTTCACTTTCTCATCTTGCTCTTCATGAATATTGCATTTCGCTGCAGCTTATGTGTTTTTCAAGACTGCACTTTCATCATTTTTTCCAAAGAAAGTGGTATCACAACATCTATTGCCTCAATCTTCATGCAACTCATATCATCACTTGGGTGTTTTATGGCCTCGAATACATTAAAAATGACTTTCTCCTCTTGACTCTCAGCATCAATTCACCTTTTTGCACATCTATCAAAGCTCTCCCTATTGCTAGAAATGGCCTTCCTAGAATGAGAGGGATATCAACATCTACCTCTATATCTAGTATAACAAAGTCTGCAGGGAATATAAATTTGTCCACTTTGACTAAAAGATCTTCAACTACTGCATAAGGATATGTATATGATCTGTCAGCCAATTGTAATGTAATCCTAGTTGGCTTCACCTCCTCAATTCCCAGCTTCTTCATAATGGCTAAAGGCATCAAATTTATGCTGGCTCCCAAGTCACACAAAGCTTTTCCAACTGTACAATTTCCAATGGAGCAGGGTATGCTGAATGACCCTGGATCTTTCAACTTTTGAGGTAGTTTTTTCTGCAATATGGCAATGCACTCTTCAGTTAGTGGTACCAATTTTTCCATATCCAGCTTCCTCTTTTTAGACAAGAGTTCTTTCATAAACTTTGCATAAGAGGGCATTTGTTCTAATGTCTCTGCAAATGGTATATTAATTTGGAGTTTCTTGAACACATCAATGAACCTTTCAAACTGCTTTTTTTGTCTAGGATCTTGTACTCTTTTTGCAAAGGGTAAACTCTTGTACTGCTCTTCATTAATAGGCTTGCAGGCCTGCTCAAATTTCTGCTTCTTGCCCCTCCTTTCTTGCTTGTTATTGCAGTTTTCCTCATCATCTCCTCTCTTTAACATAGTATATTTTTCACTTTCGAAATCTTCTTGCTTCAGTTCACTTTCATCCTTCGAATTGGTGACTTCATTTTTCTTTCTTGGGCTGGAAACCACTGCTCCACTTTGAGTGGTTATTGCTTGGCATTGTTCCTTTGGGTTCATTAGGAAACCTTCCTTCATCTCTATTGGCCAGTTGCTCAGCCAACTGCCCAATTTGTGTTTCTAGCTTCTTGATTTTTAAAATTCATTTTTGTCACCTTCATGAACTGCAGTAATGTTTCTTCAATTCCATTCACTTTCTCACTCAAGGGTCTTGAATTTGAATACCCTTGGTTTTTTTGAAATTGTGCAGAAGAACTTCCTTGAAAATATTGTTGCTAGACTTGAGGAGCTGCACTTTGGAAAGGTGCAGTAGTTGTATTTCCTCTTGCATTATAATTCTGTGGATTCCACTTGGAAAACTGTTGTCCTCTATTGTTATTAAGTTGGAAACCAGGTGGATATGGTTGCTGTGGCCTTTGATAGTGTCCCATATAATTAACTTGATCAGGTTGTTCTATGATTGTGGGATCACAAGCTCCATTCACATGGTTGCCACCACAGAAATCACAACTCAATTGTGAATTTTGGACCGCACCAGTCTGCATGTTACTTATTTGTTGAGTCAAAGCAGTAAGCTGTTCAGAAAATTGTTGATTCTGAAGTTGATTTTGAGCAAACATGGCTTCTATGGATTTTACATTATATCCTCCTCTCCTTGCTGGGATTCTTCTAAAGTTTTGCTGGGATTCTTCTAAAGTTTTTGAACTCAATGAACCACCAGCTGCTGCATCTATCATGGTTTTAGTTACAGCAGTCATTCCATTATAGAATATTTCAAGTTGCATCCACTCAGGTATGCAGTGATGAGGACATTTCCTTAATAACTCTTTGTATCTTTCCCATGCCTCATACAATGGCTCTCCTTCTTGCTGAACAAAAGATGTAATCTCTCCTTTGATTTTTGCAGCTTTTGAAGGAGGAAAGTATTTGATTAGGAACTTGTTCACCAGGTCAGCCCAGGTTGATATACTCCCTTGTGGCTGGGCTTGAAGCCAGCACTTGGCTTTATCCTTTAATGAGAATGGGAATAATCTAAGTCTAATTGCATCCTCACTTACCCCATTGATTCTGATTGTGTCATAAAGTTGTAAGAAATTAGAGATGTGCAGATTTGGATCATCTGAATAGTGTCCAGCAAATTGGTCTTGTAGTACCAGATTTAGAAGTGCAGGATTTTATCTCAAAGTGGTTGGCCTGAATTGTAGGTCTCAGAGTAGAAGAGTTGAATCCTTAGAGATTAGGAACTGCATAATCCCCTAATGTTCTCAGTCTTGGTTGTTCTCCTATCTTTATTTGTCTTGGAATTTGACTGGGTTGAGGTGTTGATGTAGAACTTTTGTTTTCCTCTCTTTGAATCTGTTTAATTCTTGCTTCACTTCTCAACCTTCTTAGAGTTTGGTCAATGTTTGGATCAAATACCAAAGTGGCTTTATTTTTGTTTTTCCCTCGCATATACAACCAAAAAGTTAACAAACTTAAACTAAAATTCAATAGTAAGATATACACTAACAAAGCTGATGTAGAAAAATAACAACAAAATCATATCAAAATTTGCAACTGCAGAATTATGCAGAAGTGCAAAATCATGCAGAAATTACCTACTAATTTTCTATACTTATCTAAGTACAGGCAAAACAGAGTACTTCTATGCAATACGAAATTGAAGAGAAAAATTCAAAAATCAAGAACTCAATTTAGAAATTTTTCTATTACTAATGATATTGAAATACAAAATTTCCCGGCAACGGCGCCAAAAACTTGTTGTTCACAATCTAACACTAGCAAGTGCACTAGGATTGTAGCAAGTAATGAGTAAATTTAAGATCCAAATATCGTCTCCACAGGGAATTTAGGTTTCAAGTACCACTTCACAGAATTATAACCATTTGAGCCATACGAATTTGGAAGGAGAGTTGTAACATGTAATAGCAGCAAACCAGAGCAATTAAAAGTAAAGAACTTGCAGAAAAACAGTGTTTAAGATTTGTGAACTTGGTTAATTGACAATCAGTTTCGCATATTAATAGCAAAAGGTTAATCCCTTAACTCATTGACCCTAACAAGCAACTCAACCACCCTAATCCCTTAGGTGAAGTTTAATTTCATGTTGCATTAAGAATTAGAACATTAGGATTGCAGAATTAAGTGTACTTATCCCTAAGAAACCCCTAATTCTAGTTGTTAATTCAGATCAGAGAATCAAGTCCAATTCCTATTGGCAAATGTTCCTCTAAGGTTAATCAAATGAATTTCCATTCAAAGATTATGTAAAGTGCAGAATTAACAACTCAATTAATCCAAATACTCGAATTTCAGAAGCAAGAATCAAATCAATTCATCAATTCGAGTTCCATAAACTCTTAACTACAAGAAATTACACAGACATTGTGGCAGAGAAAGAGAAAGAAGGAGAAGAAGAAGAAAAACTCAGAAAAGCCGTAGCATCGAGTTTCAATCCAATCCCTCTTCTTGAAGCTTCGAGGTTCGACCTGATTCCTCTCTCTCACTCTCTCCTAACGAGAATCTAATAGAAAAAATGGAAAATGAAATCAAGACCCCGAGATCTGAGCTCAAAACATGTATTTATAGAAATCCCGATTCTTGACGTTATCACTCTTGCTGATAAGAGTGGCCACGCAGAAGGTCGCGACGTTGTGCGTAATCACTTTTATGAGTAAAAGTGGTCACGCACAATGTGCCAAGTTGAGGACTCTCTGGAACATCCACTTTCAATGATAAAAGTGGTTACGCAGAATACTCTGAAACTTCGCCTTCTCTGAAACGCTCACTTTCGCTAGCAAGAGTGACCACGTAGAGTATACTGAAATTTTGCCTTTTCTAGAACGCTTACTTTTGTTGATAAAAGTGGTTACGCCCGACCTGCTGAGTCTGAAGCTTCTCTGGAATGTTCATTTTTGTTGGCAAGAGTGACAACGCACAACTAAGCTGAGATTGAACTTCTCTGGAACGTTCACTTTCAATGATAAAAGTGATCACGCCCACACTCAACTTCTCATTTAAGCTATGAATCACTCACTTTCACTGGCAAGAGTAACCACACCCAGCTTAAACTCCATGAGCCATGTTTTTGAGTCCAGACTTGCTACTTTTCTGCTATTTCTCCATTGATCTATCAACCTCATGGTATTTACTCAACATTTTCTACAAAGACACACTTCAATTATTAATTTTTACACAGAAAATTCATAAATGCTCAACTAACTATGTATTTAAAGAAATTATCCAATCATTCTATTTTTATGATTTTTTCTTCTTTTTCCAACACATTTTCCTTATGAAATGGATTAAAACTATAGTAAAATACTAGTAAAAATATGGATTCATCATCAGCCTAAATCGTGCATTTGTAATCAATTATATTTTAATCATTCAAGAACAATAAAACATACATAATCAAGTCCATTGATTTAAGAATTAACCAAAAATCTCATGCAAACATATATTTTTAAAATAAAGAAGCACCTAATCATACACATATGAACAAAAAGTGTATTCAACATTTTAACGGTGGGATGGAACCCTTCTTATCTCAAATAGATGATTCGCGAAAAGTTTGGTGATAAATATTGCCCGAAAGATCCAGTTCTTCTTGAAATGACATGGAAAAGATATCTAAGCTCGGATTCAATAGGGGTTTGGAGTTCTCAAGGTGATTTAGTTGTGGAAGAGAGTGAAAAAACAGAGAGTCAAATGAGAATGGTTACTTGACATGTAATTGTAATATCCTTATTTATTTAATATAATAAAAAAATAATTTTATAATTAAGAAGGGAAAATTAAATTAAATTCATTTGCAAGCTAAATACAACATGTAGAAATATAAAATTTTTGTTTAATTTACTCATGCTTATAAAAATTTAAATAATAAAGCCATGGGAGATAATCAAATTTAAGTGGAAAGTTGAAACAACATTAATTAATATACATTACTCTCATTAAATCACAAGAGTTTAATGTTTACAAAATATAATTACAAAATACATTAGAACTTATCTACATCATTTACAAAATACAAAATATGATAAGTCCTAATGAGTAGTCTATTTGTAACACCCTGAGTTTTGTAATCCTTTTATGATAATTATACATATGTGTATGTTGCGATTTTGATGTGTATTTTGATTTATGTTGATGATGTGGATGTGTAAGTGTATGTGACTATATATACTTAGTATATATGTATGTTGTGATTTAGAATGAGGATGTTTTTTTGTGGTTGGATTGAAAATGTATGATAGTGTAAGGTGATGTGGTGCTGTAGGGACATTCTCATTGTAGCGAGAAGGTCGTAGGAGATATGGGTGTCTCTGTTGCGTTGAGCGAGAAGGCAACAAAGAGATGGTAGTTTTTTGGGTTATCCTCGTTGTAGTGAAAGGGTCTCGCTGTAGCGAGATTAAGCCGAAAATAAGGTGCAGTTTGGTCTAATATTTTTGCTATAGTGAGAATGGGTCTCGCTACATCGAGAATATTACGACTCCTAGGGTATTTGAGGGGTTTAGGGCTTGGAAAAACACATTTCCCATTTCCTCTTCATCTTACCTATTTTTACCAATTAAATTGCTTTCAAGGCTATTTGTGCCCTAGATTGAAGGTTGGAATCGTAGTTTAGACAATTGGAGGTAAGTTTCATGAGTTAGGGTTTGCGTTTTTACTCTTTCTTTATTCTCTTTGATTTCTCATAGAGTTTTCCATGTATTTAGGATGAAAATTTGTAGAAGGAGCAATTTTACCATTGATTTCATAATTGGTTTTTATTCTAAGGTAAGGAGAGACTCTACCCTATCTCTTTATGTTATAATTTGTTTATATTGTTACTTGTTGGAATGTGATTGAGATAAGACATAGGAGAATGTGTGTTTTAATAGAAATTTTGTATTGGGTATGATATAATAGATATTGGGTGACGTGTGTGATGAAATGCTTGAATGACAATAGGGTTGTGATGAAAAATTGGGTGTGTGAGTATAATGTGATTGAATGTGTGTGTACATGCCATGTGTGAAAATGAATGCTATGATCTTATTGAGAATGTTGGAGATTGTGTGCGAATGGTGTGATAAATGTGAATATGATTGTTTTGGAATGATTGAAAACTATGAATGTTTACAGTGATACATTGGAGGTGTGGATGTCACGAATCCTTTTTATAAGGGACCAAGAACATTATTTATACACCACTTACTTATTTAAGATCGATTTTAAATTTTTTAATAAATAACTATTTTAAATAATTGACTTAAGCGACTTCAGGAAATCAATTTTTAAGGCTTAGGAGGAGTTCATGAGAAACTCGGATATATCATCTTATCTTGTTATCAATTCAGCATCTAAACGGCATCGGTTTTTATCTGTGCAGCCTTATAGCAGTTTCTAATATGCTAATCAATGAATAATAATTTTTTTTATCTGTATTTAACTTGTCTTAATTAGTAGTTTGTTTTCCTTCGACTTTTATAACTAATATGAATTTATGAAATGGTGTTTCGTGAGCTTATATCAATTCCACAACATTAATCTGATTACTTTCCTCGAGATAGGGATATATTTTATATTGCCTTAATTACATTTTAGTCGATCTATGGTCAATTTGTACTTTTCATCCTCCAGTGGTTTTTTTTACTTGAGTTTGAATCTTTATTGTTATATTATTATATTCAAGCCTTTTGTCAATTTTTATCTTTAAGAAGTTGAGCTTAGAGTTTTCAAGATGAAAAGTTTTGAAATCTTCTTTAACTAATGTTTAAAGTTTTAATTGATGTATATAAACTTTTAAGTAAAAATAATTAAAAACATTATTAGTTGAATTTGTTAAGGGAAAAAATCGACAATAGGCGAGAGGCCAAAGCAACAAGAGATGAAAGCTTTACATATGAACTTTAGTCGAAGCCTATAAAAAAAAAATGAAGAAGCCTGCTTACTGACGGAAGCAAAATATCTAAGAATTTGGAGATCTAGCAAGTACAATTCAAGACAAGGAACAAAAGGAAATTAAAGCAACAAAAAATCCCTAACCAAAGAAATTCATAAATGAATGGGATTTAATATAAAATAGAGGTTAAGATTTCTTCTCCAATAGTAATTTAACTTCACCATAAGAAAAGTTGTTTATAATAAATGGAGAAAATTTTAAAACCAATTTAAAAAAATTAAAGTGTTTATTTATATATGAAAAATAATATTTAATTGTTAAAATTAACGGTAAAAATATCATTTATAAATATGAAAAAAATTAAGAAAGATAAATATTTTTCTTGATTTTTTCTAATGAGGCTGGTTTTTGTTGTTATTCTATCAAGAAATTTATTTGTTTATTATGGATTTTTTTTCTGCAAATTACAAATGATGCATGTATAATGATTTATGTAACTTATTTACAGTGAGTAATTTAATATATCATTATTTTTAATATGTAATGTGTAAAAATTTAATATCTCACTTTTATGACACATGAGATTTAATCACTAGTTTACTTATTTATTATTATCAATGTATAGTCTTATCTAATATTAATACTTTACTGAAAATATATTAATGGTCTGTTTAAAATTAATATAGAAAATTATGAAAAATGATTTATAACTCTTGTGTTATTTTTATTTTATTTTAATAAACTAATTGGTATAGCTTATAAAAATACTTCAAAAAATTTTATCATTAAATTTAAAATATAAGAAACATAAAGACTTTTAACAAACTTACTGATACAAACTTATAACTAAAATTGTAGATAACCAAAACTTTTTTTAAACTTAAGTTTATTAAATACTTAATGAAGCTCATTTGCTGTATTAAACAAACAGATTTAACAGGTTGCATGTGTGTCAATATATTTTTTTTAAGAATATTTTTTACTTTTGTTGAAACAATGTTTAAGAAACGAACGTGATTTTAATTTTTTTTAATTATTTTTACCTAAAATTAAAATTGTTTCTAAATATATGTATAATTAAATAATATTTTATTTTTTGGTATTACATTGGGAAATTAATAAATTTCAATATCAATTTAAGTTTGATATAAAAATTTTATATCTAAATTACCTCCTTTCAAATATATATTTTTTAATTTTAATTTTTTATGCATTGTAATTTTTGTATTAATTAAAATTTTAATTTATATACACAGACATGGTAATTTTTTTACACTATCAGCTAATCATATAGATTATTATGTCACTAAGAATCTTTATTTTTTTTTATAATAATTAATATAAAAATATATTTAGAATGAATTCTCGTTAATTAACAATATAAAAAGCTTTATACTGAAAATATATAAAAACTTTGGTTCAAGAACAGAGTTAGCCGAGAAAAAGTATGCCACTTATTCATTGTACCCATTGCAATGGTATGGTTCTAGATGTTTACGCATGGCGTATATTTTGGCCACTTATTCATGTACACGAGAGAGCTATACACAATTCTTTTCCTACCTTCCTCAACGTCACATGGTGTAATTACATGCCTAAACCCTTGTAACTATTTATAATAATAACTTATGACAGATTCACACTCTTTGTTTTTATTAAAGACTAAAAAAAGACTAACATTACACTTGTTTTGATGTCTAACTTAGAGCCACACGTTCGCTAGCTTGTGCTCAAAAGATAATGAAAAGCGGAGGGAGCCTTCTTTGAACTTTCACAAATGATGCTTCCATAAGCAGGGAACTCCACATGGTTAATGTTTTTTGAGGAGTCGCAAAATAAGGAATGGACGTAAAACTCCCGTTAAACTTGCACTTACAAATCAATGTCGATCTCTTGGTATCGCCTTTAAAACCCCTCAAAACAACACATGATCGACACAGGTAAAAGTGTTGAAGCTAGAAGAACCTAGCAACCAACATTGGTACATAAGAAAACAAAATTTCCAATTGCACTGACATTTAGCTAACTATCATGGCGGGAGGATCATTTGCCTCAACATCTGGGACTCACTTTGAGTCTAAGATCACAGCATCTGTCATAATATCTTGCATAATGGCCGCCACCGGTGGTCTTATGTTCGGTTATGATATTGGAATTTCTGGTACATATAATCATACGATATTGGTTATGCATTTATTAATTAATCAGGTTCATAATTCAAAGGATAGCGTAGTTGTTTTAGAATCGTTGTCACGATCTCAAGTTAATTAAATCATATTTAATTTAATGCGAGGAATTAATATTGTGAATATATATTGCAGGTGGTGTGACATCAATGCCTGGCTTTCTAAGAAGGTTTTTCCCAGAAGTATACAGAAGGACACAACAGCACGACGGGACTGAGAGTAACTACTGCAAATATGACAATCAAAGCCTTCAATTGTTCACATCCTCTCTCTACCTAGCAGCATTGGTAGCCACCATGTTTGCTTCCCCGGTGACGAGGAAGTTAGGGCGCAAGCAAACTATGTTGATTGCTGGGATTTTCTTCATTGTCGGAACTGTGTTGAACGCTGTGGTAAATAGCCTTGGGCTGCTTATTTTAGGCAGGATCCTTCTTGGCTGCGGTGTTGGTTTTGCTAATCAGGTCCTTGAGTATTTCATTTTTCATTCTACTTTCTTTCATCTGTTTCGTACAATATAGTCAATTTTGCTGATTCTTGATTAATTAATTTTGTAATTTTGACAACAGGCTGTGCCGTTGTTTCTTTCTGAGATGGCACCCACAAGGATTCGTGGAGCACTCAACATCTTGTTCCAACTTAACTGCACAATTGGAATTCTGATTGCAAACATTGTCAACTGGTTTACTGCAAAGTGAGAATTTAATGTGATAGAAAATTGATTTGGATTTGAAAGCATAAATTTTAGTTTGATTAATTATGTGTAAATATTGGCATAGGATTAAAGCCGGATATGGGTGGAGGATATCATTGGCCGTGGCAGGGGTTCCCGCAATTATGCTAACAATAGGGGCCCTCATTGTGGATGACACTCCCAACAGTCTTATTGAGAGGGGTTACGAGGAAGAAGGAAAGGCTGTGCTGAAGAAGATTCGTGGTGTGGAAAATGTTGAACCAGAGTTCCAGGAGATCCTCAAAGCCAGTAAAGTGGCTAAAGAGGTCAAAAGTCCCTTCAAGGACATCCTCAAGCGCCACAACCGTCCTCCATTGGTCATTGCCATCTGCATGCAGGTCCTAACTTTATACTTGTTATTCGATCATATTCACTAATTAAGAACCAAAACGCTATTATTTCTGAATTAGCATTTTGGTATAGGTTTTCCAACAATTCACTGGAATCAACGCGATCATGTTCTATGCTCCGGTGCTGTTCAACACCTTGGGATTTCACAATGACGCTTCCTTGTACTCAGCTGTGATAACAGGAGCAGTGAATGTGCTGTCGACCTTGGTGTCTATCTACTTCGTGGACAAAGCTGGTCGGAAGGTGCTGCTGTTGGAAGCTTGTGCGCAAATGCTTGTGTCGCAGGTGCTGATTGCAGTATTGTTGGGGCTGAAGGTACAAGACCACTCAAGTAGCTTGAGCAAAGGGTTTGCCATATTGGTGGTGGTGTTGGTCTGCACATTCGTGTCATCTTTTGCATGGTCATGGGGCCCACTTGGGTGGCTAATTCCCAGTGAGATATTCCCACTAGAGACTAGGTCGGCGGGGCAGAGTGTGACGGTGTTCGTCAACATGCTCTTCACCTTCATTATTGCACAGGCATGCTTGTCCATGATGTGCACCCTCAAGTACGGCATTTTCCTCTTTTTCTCCGCCTGGGTGGTTGTCATGACCATATTCACAGTCTTTCTCATTCCAGAGACAAGGAATGTTCCCATTGAAGAGATGAGTGAGAAAGTGTGGAGAGAGCACTGGTTGTGGAAGAAATATATGGATGCATGATTGAGTTCCTCCACAGCCATTCTTTTCGGTAAATATACCAAAGAGTAATTTACCTATGCTCACAATAAGATTAATCTAGGAGTTTCCTCATAGTAGTAGTTGATATAAATAAACAATTTGATTTTAGACTTTTAGTTTTGTTTTAGATTCATGTTTCAATAACAAATATATGTTAAATTAGGCTTACAATTTTTTTAACTTGCTTTTAAATCCTTACTTTTACAACCGCATGCTAACATGGATTCGAATGAACATATTTTTTTTATGTTAAAAATAAGAGGCTTAATTTCTCTAAAGTTTATTTATTTTAAATTATATCATAACTATTATTTATTAAAATCACTATGTGTCTACGTGCGTTTCATTTTGAAGATTAATTTACTGTTATTTATACTTAAAGTTTGGTTTTAAATTAAATGACAGAGATTTCATTAAAATTAACAAATTGTCAAAGTAAATTCATTTTAAGTCTTCAAAATACTCAATGCTGTAAAAGATGTGCTTCTTTCACAAAACTAAATATATGATTTTTAAATAAATATTATATAGTGATTGTATAATTCTACCTACAGTTTAGATGATAGGTGGTTTCTGAAAATGACTAATAATACATATATAATTATTTATTTAACTTATTTATAGTGAGCAATTTAATATTTTCTTACGTATTTTTGGTGTAATATTTATATTTCTATTTTATAATTTACTAATAAATGTGTGTGCGTTGCACGAGTTTATTTTATTTTTATTAAATTAATTTATTTTAAAATATAAAATATATAATTTAAATATAAAAATATATAAATATGGTAAAAAAGTTTATTATATTAAATATAATTACACTAAAAAAATTATAAAATATTTCTTTATATACAATATTTTTTTATATCCTATATATTTGTTATCTTCTTTAATAATAAGTATTTTTATTTCTTTTTTTTACGTTACTCTTGACAATGCAAAGATATATTCAAATATTGAATAGAACTTAAAATAAAGATATATTTTATTTTTAATTAAAAGGTAACTCGAGAATTTCATCAAATTTTTTTTTAAATTATTTTTATATAATTTAATCAATATTATTTTTTCTATTTTTATTAAATATCATTCATAACAGTTTTGTTACTGTCATTTTTAACATTATATAACTATCAATTCTAGTAAATATTTCTTAAATACATTCAAATATAATAAATATGAATTAATTATAATTATAATTTTTAAATTATGCAAATGAGTATCATTAATTTCAATAATTTTTAATTTAATGTAATTTTAAATTATCTTATATATAATATTATCATATGTAAACTTATCTTTTTATTAGAAATTTAATTTAACAATATATAATATAAACTAATAATTTTGTAAATGTAATTTTTTTAATTCAATGTACATTTTAGTTTTTGAAGTACATACTAAATTATAGATTACATTAAATTAATTAGTAAAATAATTAATTATAGATTACATCCAATTGGGTGTTACGCACTCTTTTGTATCTATAGAATATGTGAAGAGTCTGAGCTTGTATGTGATTAAATTGCCATGTAATGTTATGGTGACTACCCCTACGGGTAAGCCGGTTGTGACATTATGGGTGTGTCTGGAATGTTCAATAATGGTGCATGGTAGGGACTTTGAGGTAGACTTCATTTATTTGCCTCTTTCCCAATTAGATGTAATTCTGGGAATGGATTGGTTGGCTACCAACCATGTATTGTTGGATTGCAAAGAGAAGACTTTGATTTTCAGTTTGTCAATGACGAAAATTCTAAGACTTTTGAGTCAAGGTGCGTGGGAGAACATAGTGAACGCTAAGGCCTTCATGGTCATGTTCTCAATTACATGAGTCGAGAGGGAGCACGAGGCTAAAGCTGAGTATTCTTAGAAGAGTCTTTGGCAGGAGCAAAGCAGAAGCTTCACAGTCTGAGGAACTGATAAGAGGTAAATTCATTATTAAGTGCAGATTATTGGATGTGTTATTTCACTTGGGTGCTACACACTCTTTCGTATCTGTGGAATGTGTGTCACTATAGCGAGAAATCAGCATCCAGAATCAGGCATTCTGATGCTCTCTCGCTGCAGCGAGGATCTTCTCGTTGTAGCGAGGAGCTCTCGTTGTAGTTAGAATGACAGACAGCAAAATGCAATTTTGTCTGGTTGTTTCGCTGTAGTGAAGAAAGGTCTTGCTGTAATGAGAATTGACTCGTTGTAGTGAGAATGTCGTAATTTTAGGGGTATTTAAGGGTTTTCAAGTTGAGAAACTTGGATTATAATCTAATTTACGACCCTCCTACATTCTCTCTGACTTCTCTCCTTATTTTTTCAGCAAATCCTTGAAAAATCTCAAGCTTTCTCTGATCAAAGCTTTGAAGTTCACTTTCCTTGTTCTTTGGGAAGTCCTTAAAGCTTGGTTCTCTATTTTTTTGATTATTTTCTTGTTTTTCCTCCTCTAAATAGGAACTCTTGTGATATTTAGGAAAATTTTGATGTTCTAGGCAAGATCCTTCGAAAATCCTTTATTAAACCTCGATTTCAAGGTAAGGAAAGCTCTATCTTGTTACTAAGAAAGTGGTATGCTTGTATTCATGAAAATGCTGTGATGAAATGCATGATTTTGAGTATATGTTGGATGAGAACATGTTTTTGTTATGTTTGAAGCATGTTTTGTGATGTTGATGAAGTGTATGATTCTTTATTTGAGTGTATATGCATGTATATGATAGACTGAGTCTAAAGAAACTAACTCTCGGGAATGATTAATTGATATATGATGTAATAATGAACTAAAGTAAAATAAAGAGATAAAAACGTGAATAATATGTTAATAAACATATAATAAAAAATATAAAGATGAGATGGAAAATTTGGAAAGAGAAATGAAATAAGAAAAGAATACGATAAGGATGAGTATGGATAGTTCAGAGGTACATTAGAGTGTGGAAGATGGAGACGATTGAGAAATCTTAGAGAAATGAGGGTGGTGGATGCTCCTCTTGAATTGCATAGAACAAATGAGAATAAGAGTACCACAGGCCTCACACTCGTTTCCTGACTAATACCCTTGACCATACTTTTGCTAAAGGGGGCTGAGTCGGCACACGTTGTATCTGTGTAGCTGCGGCTATCCAGTGACTATCTATGCTAAGGAATACCTCGAGGGATCCTAGGAAATGAGAACTCTGAGTATTAAGAGAGAGATGAAAAGTAATAAGCTGAATATTCAAAGATTGTTGCATGCATATGAATATAATTTTATAACATAATTGATTGTTGTATTATCTTTATTTTACTATGTGATTAATTGTGAATGTATGCTTGGTAATATGAATAGAGACTCATCCTTACATAAACCTTTCAGGGGACCAAGATGACAGCACCTAGAGAGAGAATTAGGCTCATAGACAGTTCTATACATAATAGACTTAACTATGTATTTAACGAATATCAAAGACTGCTACTTTAGAATTGTGTTGTTCGCAATCTTACACTAGCAAGTGCACTAAGATTGTAGCAAGTAATGAGTGATTTTTAAGAACAGGATGTGGTCTCCACAGGGAATTTGGATTTCAAGTATCAATTCTTAGAATTATAACCATTAGAGCCATACGAATTTGGAAGGAGAATTGTAACATGTAACAGAATTAAACCAAAGCAATTAAAAGTAAAGAACTTGCAGAAAAATAGAGTATAAGATGTGTAATGAACTGAGATAGGAATGAATAATAGTTAGGAATTTACTTCACAAGAATGTCAATATTAATTCAATTATGCCTCTGAACATTCAAGAACTTGGTTAATTGACAATCAGTTTTGCATATTAATAGCCAAAGGTTAATCCCTTAACTCATTGACCCTAACAAGCAACTAAACCACCCTAATCCCTTAGGTGAAGTTCAATTTCATGTTGCATTAAGAATTAGAACATTAGGATTGCAGAATTAAGTGTACTTATCCCTAAGAAACCCCTAATTCTGGTTGTTAATTCAGATCAGAGAATCAAGTCCAATTCCCATTAGCAAATGTTCCTCTAAGGTTAATCAAATGAATCCCCATTCAAAGATTATGTAATTAATCCAAATACTAGAATTTCAGAAGCAAGAATCAAATCAATACATCAATTCGAGTTCCATAAACTCCTAACTACAAGAAATTACACAGACATTGTGGCAGAGAAAGAAAAAGAAGGAGGAGAAGAAGAAGAACTCAGAAAAGCCATAGCTACGAGCTTCAATCCAATCCCTCTTCTTGAAGCTTTGAGGTTCGACCCCACTCCTCTCACTTTTTCTCAACGAGAATCTAACAAAAAAAATAGAAAATGAATGAAAGACCCCGAGATCTGAGCTCAAAACATGTATTTATAGAAATCCCGACTCTTGGCGTTATCACTCTTGCTGATAAGAGTGGCCACGCAGAAGGTCGCGACGTTGTGCGTAATCACTTTTATGAGTAAAACTGGTCACACGCAACTTGCCAAGTTGAGGACCTCTGGAACATCCACTTTCAATGATAAAAGTGGTTACGCAGAATACTTTGAAACTTCGCCTTCTCTGGAACGCTCACTTTCGCCAGCAAGAGTGACCACGCAGAGTATACTGAAATTCTGCCTTCTCTAGAATGCTCACTTTTGTTGGCGAGAGTGACAACGCACAGCTAAGCTGAGATTGAACTTCTCTGGAACGTTCACTTTCAATGATAAAAGTGATCACGTCCACACTCAACTTCTCATTTAAGCTATGAATCACTCACTTTCGCTGGCAAGAGTAACCACGCCCAGCTTAAACTCCATGAGCCATGTTCTTTGAGTCCAGACTTGCTACTTTTATCTATTTCTCCATTGATCTATCAACCTCATGGTCTTTACTCAGCATTTTCTACAAAAACACACTTCAATTATTAATTTTTACACAGAAAATTCATAAATGCTTAACTAACTATGTATTTAAAGAAATTATCCAATCATTCTATTTTTATGATTTTTTCTGCTTTTTCAA